CGGCAGAGAAATACCTGAACGGTAAAAGGAAGTCACAGAGGGAACTGGCAGGCAGCGAACTGCCGCCTCCCCACCGCAAATCTTTTCCACCGACTAGGTCCATCGTGCTTGTAAGGAAATCCAGAAAAAGGGTATAAATTTGTCTCAGAAGTCTGGAGAAGAATTGATATATGTCTCATCGGCTGGACTGAGTTAAGAAAACTGAGCCCATCCGGCCAGAGGAGGCGTGGTCACCAATTTACATAACTCAGTCTCAAGGCTAATGGACAAAGTTAACCCATGCTTGGATTCCCCAAGCAGCACACAGGAGAAAAGCACCTTTGCACAGCATTGAAATCCTCTGAAGTCTGCTATTTTGCGTGCATGCACGCCTGAGGTGTGACCACGCAGCTCTAAAAAAGGAACATTTTGAAGCCTTCCAGGTCTGCAAAGCTAAGAAAACAGCAAGCAGGGGAAGGGGAAAGGAAATCTGCTGTGCCCGCGATTTAATTAGCTAGAAAGCAGGAAAGACCACGAATTCAGTGTTTTGCCTTAGCCGTGAAAGCCAGATGGATGGGCCAGTCATTCTCTCTTAGCCCAACTAACCTCACAGGGTAATTTCGATAGGGAAAATAGGAGGAGGTGTGTTAAATATGTTCTCTGTCTTGAGTTATTTATAAAAATAATAAAAGTAAGATATAAATAATAAAATAAAAAATTAAGTGCTTTAATTTGGATTAGGAATGAACAATTAAGAATTTTACTTACAGTTGTATTTAGGCCTTTAATGTCAGTTGGATGGAAAGTTGAACTGTAGTGTTTTATCTTTGGTCTAGAGTTTTCTATAGCTTTTTCTTGAAGCCTTTTTGCGGCCTAGCAAAAAATTAAAAAAATTAAAAATTAGCTTTTGTTACTGAGAAATTTAATGTCAGAATGATACATAGGAGAATATTTCAAACCATACTTTTCTGAGAATCAGTTCTGAACCAAAGTGATGTGATTATGTAAATAGTTATGCTACATTAGGGTGACCAGATGACCCGATTTCAGCGGGACAGTCACGATTTGTAACAATTTTTCCCGCATCCCTCCGCCTTTTAAAAAAGTCCCGATTTTTTTCTGGCTTCATGTTGAAAGCCCGGTGGATTTGCTTAAGAAATCCTAACCGGAAGGAAAAGGGAGAAGGGAGAGAAAAGGAAGGAAAGAAAANCATAGTGCTATGGGATTCCGACTCTGGAAGTTACATCAGAATCCCACCCAGTTAAAAGTTCATGATCTTGCCCCCACACCGACAGTTCATCACATGGTCCAATCTTCTTCTTCCACGCTGGCGTCTACGCCTAACTGCTTCCATCCAGGTGTAAAGGTTTGGGAGACAAAAGATGACCTTGAGCTTCTTGGAAGTAATTTCTTATTTTGAAAACAACACATTCTACCCTTTGCTAGCCTCAGGAAAGTTGAAATGAACTGCAGACAATTTTTCTCCAATTTTGTCCTCTCTACTCTTTCTGACTTTTTCTTCACAGCCGGCATAACCTCCCAATTGGCTCATGAAAGGTCAAATGAAATGCAGGCAATTTAACTCTAACTTTGCCCCCTGTACTCTCTCTGACTCCCCCCTCACAGCCAGCAGATCCTCCCACCAGCCTCAGGAAAGTTTAAATGAACTAGAGGCAATTTTTCTGTAACTTTATTCTCTGACTTTCACCTCAGATGCAGCAGATCTTCCCACCAGACTCAGGAAATTTCAAATAATCTGCTGACAATTTTACTCTACCTTTGTTCTCTGACTCTCACCTCACACCCAGCAGATGCTTCCACTAGCCTCATGAAAGGTCAAATGAAATGGAGGCAATTGTACTCTATCTTTGCCCACTGTACTCTCACTGACTCCCCCCTCACAAACAGCAGATCCTCCCACCAGCCTCAGGAATGTTTAAATGAACTGGAGTCTATTTCACTCTACCTTTGTTCTCTGACTCTCAACTCACAGCCAGAAGATCCTCCCTATAGCCTCAGGAAAGTTCAAACGAACTGGAGTCCATTTCACTATACCTTTGTCCTCGGTACTATCTCTTGACTCATTCCTCAGAGCCAGCTGATCCTCCCACTAGCCTCATAAAAGGTCAAAATAAATGCAGGCACTTTTGCTCTAACTTTGTCATCTGTACTCTCTCTGACTCCCCCCACACAACCAGCAGATCCTCCCAACAGCCTCAGAAAAGTTTAAATGAACTGCAGGCAAATTTTCTCTACCTTTATTCTCTGACTCTCACCTTACGCACAGTTAGAGTAAAATTTTCTCCTGTTCATTTAAACTTTCCTGAGGCTGGTGGGAAGATCTGCTGCGTGTGAGGGGGGAGTCAGAGAGAGTACAGAAGACAAAGTTAGAGCAAAATTGCCTGAATTTCATTTGACCTTTCATCAGGCTAGTGGGAGGATCTGCTGGGTGTGAGGAATGATTCAAGAGAGAGTACAGAGGACAAAGGTAGAGTAAAATTGTCTCCAGTTTATTTGAACTTTCCTGAGCCAAGTGGGAAGATCTGCTGGCTGTGAGGGGGGAGTCAGAGAGATTACAGAGGACAAAGTTAGAGCAAAATTGCCTCCATTTCATTTTACCTTTCCTGAGGCTAGTGGGAGGATCTGCTGGGAGTGAGTTGACAGTCAGCTCAGAACTTTCCTGAGGCTTTGTCCTCTGTACTCTCTCTGACTCCCCCCTCACAGCCAGTAGATCCCCCCACAAGCCTCAGGAAAGTTCAAATGAACTGGAGTCCATTTCACTCTACCTTTGTCCTCTGTGCTCTCTCTGACTCCCCTGTCACAACCAGTAGATCCTCCCACCAGCTTTTGGAAAGTTTAAATGAACTGGAGGCAATTTTTCTCTCACTTTGTCCTCTGTACTCTCTCTGACCTTTTCTTCACAGCCAGCAGATCCTCCCACTAGCCTCTTGAAATATGAAATGAAATGGAGGCAATTTTACTCTTACTTTGTCCTCTGTACTTTCCCTGACTCCCCACTCACACCCAGCAGATCCTGCCACTAGCCTCATGAAAGGTCAAATGAAATGGAGGTAATTTTACTCTACCTTTTTTCCTCTGTACTCTCTCTGACTCCCGCGTTACAACCAGCAGATCCTCCCACCAGCCTCAGGAAAGTTTAAATGGGGGAGGAGCCAACGTTGCAACGATACATTGTGCGGATTCGGCTGTCCGAATCCGCCGATGATACTTTTGCCCCTGGACGGTCCGGTAGGACCTAAACTGTCCCGAAGAGACAATGACTGGGAAGACAAGAACTTGCTTGTCTCAGGGACATCGCAAAGTCCCTGATCGACCCAAGGGGAGTGCCTCCAACCGGAGGCAAACAGGCAGCCCTCCCCCCTCCCGGCTGACATAGTTGGAGACAGCTCCAGGAAGAGAGAATGAAAGTGTTTCTATCTGGTGAGGTTTTTTTTCTTTTCTTTTAGAAGATTGCCCTAAGATACTCTTTTCTTCAGCTTAATTAGTCCATTAAGCAAGAACAAAGCGGCATATTTAATCCCCATTGCACTGCCTTATAAAGTTTTTTGCTCTTGCTTGTAATCTTTTGTGGATTGAGTGATTGCAATGCTCCCGTTTTTTCCGCTTGAGGTGACGGGATCTTTTTTTATTCCTATTTCCCTTTACTACTTTAACTTTTTTCGCTTAAATTAAAACTTTTTACTTTAATAAATTTCTTCTTCTACTTGTTTCAATATTATATTGGAGATACTTAAGGAAAGAGGTTTTAAAAGAATCGAATCTGCCACTTGGAAGCCCAAGTCTGAAGCTTT